CTTTTAAAAACATAAGTAGTTGTATTTCCATCATCCAGAATTAAGTTGGCATATTATGTTTTTTCTTTAAAATATTGGAAGGTGTGTACATGTTAATAAATCAAGAGCAGTTAATTATTTAAAAAAAGTATTCCTAAGTCTATCTTAATATTAAATTCCAACAAATAATCCTGGTAAATCCAAGATTTTAAATTAAACTTGAACTGCTTTATGTGCTTGAACTGCAGCTATCAAAATAGTCTGTTTTGATTCACGATTCAAGGTACTTAAGCATCTTTTAAAAAAAAAAAAAAAATTAAAACACTTCCTGACTTAAAACCTCAACTTAGCCAGTTCCAGAACGGGAGCCCTATAAAGGACTTTTTAAAGTATTGCCACCACCACTGATCTGTGTAAAAAGCTTGCAGGAGGGCTTACTTTTTTTGATGCACCTGGTGTGGGTGGGGATAGCAGAGGAGGAAATAAAAGCAGGAGCATCAATAAAGCAACCAAAAAGCTGCAGTAAGCTGGTTAGCTCTGGAGTGGAGGGGCTGGGAGCGTGTTACTCAGAAGGTAAGCGTTGCTGATCTGATAAATGGTATTTTCTTAGTGTACTAGGCCCCATAGCAACGTAGGAGTTAGTTAGGGGATTTGTTGGGAGCCTAAGGCTCAATTTACAAAGCTGAAGTTGAGCGGCAAGCGCTTGCCGAAAGAGGTATGGCCCTTGCTGCAGTGATGGGAGCAGAACAGGCTTTATGTAGAAAGAATTTGGGGAGAAAAAACCCCATTGTTTGACCAGCTAGCTGTAGCAGATGATACTTGAAGCTTCTATGCCAAAATCTGTGGTATTCGGGTATGTAGTGTAGACATCTAGAAGGTTGCGCTGAATGGCAGAGGACCACCAGGGAAGACCTGCAGCTGCTCTCTTGTCCCTCCCAAGTGAGGAAGGGGCCATTGAGACTGTGGAGTAGTCGCTTGTTAAAAGGGCAGGAGATGAGATGCTGCAACGTTGAAGTAGCCATGGAAGGTGACTGTAGAGAAGAGTGCCGCGTAGTGATGTTAGCTTACGCTGTCGCTGTGTAACTCGGCTGAATGTGAGTGGCAAGCAGGCTGAAAGTCCTAAAAAGTTGAACTGCTGTGAGCTGCAATGAAGCCTTTCCCCAAAGTCCTTGTTGAGTCATAGAACAAACCCCCGGGAGCTCCTGCTGGCTGTGAATAAGCAGCTGGGCTCAAAAGCAAGATGGCTAAATTATGTAAGATTACTTTAGAATACTATTATTATTGTATAATGTCAAATAAGCATCACGATGCGGAAGCAATTCGGAATCGGTTTGCAAATATAATTGTAACATCTGTTACTGCTCCTTACAGGAGGTACTTTCTGTCACCTTGCTGCTCATCTATTACCTGGAGCTCTTCTTCCAGGGAGGATTATTTACACAAGTGATTGAGGATAGTTTGGGGTTTTTTCTTATCTTTATTACAGTGATATTTGCTCCTTCCTTTGCATTACCACCCTTTTTCCAACAGCAGTTTAGAGATGATCTGTAAAATCTATGGAAACTAGTTCAAGGCTGTTGGTGGGGTTGAGTGAAATAGGGAGGTGTCAACAAATGTGTGTGGGAAGGGATAGCAAGTTTCTTCTAACTTAAGGCCCAACACTGAATTCTTTACGTGTTCGTTTTGGATTAGGGGGATGAGCTGTTTGCCACACTGCGCTGTTACAGAAGCATCTGCTAGAGATGCTTTACAAGGGTTTGGTGCTTACGGGGCTTATGTTTTGTACCACCACGTTGGCCGCTGCTGTGCCGTACCTGCGGGAAGGAGGTAGAGTGCTTTGCCTTTGCTCTGCGTCTCCTACTTCCTCAGCCTGTGGCATGTCAGGAATCTAATGGAAGGTGAAGCAGACGTGTGGGATCACGCGAACCTTTATGGAGCTGGAGAGGTTTTCTCACCCCAGTCCAACTGCTGGCACCGCTTGTGCCTGAGGAGCTGCGTCCCAACGACTTTGTCGCTGTGCCAAACCCACACGCTGAAGTCATCCCTTCTCCCGAGGGCCCGCAGTGCTGCTACCTACCCTGGTGGAGCCGCAGCTTCTGTGCCCTCCCAAACCCCGGGGCGTTCTGCCCCGAACGCTCTCCCTGGCATAATCTGTGTGCGTGAACAATACGCAGCAGCAGACGGTTTCATTTTCTGTTACCGCAGCGAAGATTATGCTATCGCGGTCACCGAGAGTCAGCTCTTCTGTTGCAGCTTACGGGCAGTGGTCTTTGACCGCCAGCAGCTTCTCAGGTGATCCGCAAGAAACTGGAAGCGCTTTCAGAAGGTGGAGAAAAAGGGTATAGTCGTACTGCTGTGAGGCAAACAAAATGTCACCTGACTGCCAAGACAATCTACGTGAATGGATGTATTTTAACAGCCTTTGAGGTGAACTAAACATCTAGGATTTGGGAGAATAAGGACGGAATTTCTGCTATTTCTCCTATTCACTTAGTGCAGCACTAGGTGATATGAAAGGGGAGGCGTCTCTTTCCACAAGGACAGAGCAGCTCTAGTACATGTAGCTCTCAGCTTTGCGGTTTAATGGTACACTTCAGGTAGCTGTCAGTTGTGTACTACTAAACTACAGTATTTTCTGCTTTCATTCTCAACTGAAATCAATGTTGTTTTAAGTTTTTTTGGTAACAACAGGTGTGTTTATCTACCCAAATAATTTCCCAGATTCAGACTGGCCAGTTAGATGGGTATGGTACAGAAGCTTCTTCAAAAATAGTTTTAATCAATCAGTCCTTATGGTATAGGAACTTCTTTACGAATCAGATTGATAAAGCTATTTCTAATATAGAACTACACATACCCAAATCCTCCAATGTGTTTCTTAGCTGTAGGAATAAATGTGACTTTCAAAACAAGGACTCTAAAGAAGCACAGAGTGATCTATTTAAAGGATGGAGAGCGAGCAGAGCAGTGTTTTCTTCTACGGTAATGCTGCATTGCAAGAATCGCCGCTTAAAGACCAGATCCACTCAATCGGAGGCGGTTCAGACCTTTACTCCCACCTTCCAGAAAAGCTGCCAGGCAGACAGCCACAAGCACAGCAACCGTCTCAGCACGATGACGAGCGCTGTGGGTGTTCAGACAGAGTGGGAATGTTTTACTCAGATGCAGAGCACCTTTACTGGCGCCAGGACGCAGAGCAGGCTCACCTTGGGCTGCCTACCGAAGGGTGGGCGGCACAGCCCTGTCTCTGCTCCTGTTCAGTCAGTGTGCTAGCTCTTTCACAGAGCAGGAGCTTGGATGAAAAAAGAGATGGATGGCTATGTCCTCCTCTTAGAGTTTTGAGGGAGACTGAGAATTGAAGAGAAGCTTAAAATATCCCAAGTGAGCAGCTAGAGTGTTAAGTGCTGTTTAAGTGCCTTTGTAGGACACCTACTGTGACAGAGGTTAGATAGAAATTCACATTTCAAACTAAAGTTTTGTACATTTTATTATAATTCAATGCATTTTCATTAGACTTAAAAAAAATCACTATGACCAGTTAATACAGTGAAGAAAACAATTACCAGCAACCAATGGAAAGTGAAGGTATTAATCTGCCAAGGACACAGCTTTTTAGCCCAAACACCATTCTACTAATGTTGAGAAGTCTCCCTTCTCAACTCCATTCTGAAGGCTAAGTGAGGAAACTTACTGTGTCAGGACATAAGAGCATAGCTCTTAAGACAGGGTGAGACACTATTGGGAGAGGTAAAAGAAATACTTCGTTCAGAGAAAGAAAAAAATGAAAAGCCTCTATAGCCTAAACAAGGTCAGAAATGGGGCCAGTAAGATACCGAGGCCAAGCATAATGCTCTCTGGGGAAACTAAGAGCTAGATTCTGAGCACTCCTCATGCTACAACAAACTTCCCTCCTCTACCAAAGCAGTGGCTCAAGGCCACTACTTTGAAAGTCTAGTTGTAACACCATAGTTTAGGTTGCTCTAAATAATCAAAGGCAGCTTCACATTTGGTAAAGGGATTATAGACGCTGCTGAATACAGAATAAAAGCAACAGAGCTTTGGGCATTTAGCAAACGTTACTGCACTGTAACAAACCGACCTAGATAGTACAGAAACTTTAGGAAATGAACCACCCAAGAGATGACATACTGAGTCTTTTGCTTTTTGTTTTTCAGAATCCTGAGAAGTGCAGCATCGCCCTCTTGTGGTAATAAAGGAAAACAATTAATAACAGTATCTTTAATTTAATGTTTTAACTTCCAGTATTCCTTATAAATACTTACAGACTCAAAAGAAATCCACATCAGAAAATGAGGAGAACAATTACTAGACTCATAAAAGAGCTTTCTTCCTGTAAGTATACAGGGTTTATAAAGGTTTTATTATTTTAACTAGAGTCACAAAATGCTTCCATTTGGAGGACTCGCCTCCTTACTCATGGTGAGTAAGGACTCACCATGAGTCAGCTTTTGTTTTTGAAAAAGGCACTAAATCCCTAAGCAGTTCAAAAGTCATTAGGAAACTGAAGAGAAATGCTGTCACCCACATATTCAAATACATCTATTTATGAACAACTTTCTACATGAGGACTTAGAGAAAACTTTAACTGTAGAGCTTGAAATAAGCATAAAAACAATGTATGGGGCACCTGAGCTGTGCCCAAGCCAGTCATACGCAGACATACATACATCAACTGACCAGACAGTGTACACTTACTGACTGACTACAGGTAGGGAGGCCACTTCCATGTGAGAAAGCCCATCTCACTCCCCTGACAGGGAAGCAATAAAACATGCACATAAAACAAAAAAAAATTGGCCAAAACTTAGTGTTCAGAGTTAGTTTTTAAGTTTCTTAGTGTGTGTGTTTCCACATCTGTTCTCCCACGATGGCAAAGTACTGCTGAGCCTTCATATGCAAACAGCAAAAGCCACATGATGAGTAAGTGCCACGCTGCAGCAGAAACTGGCAAGCTATTGGCAGTAAACATCAACCATCTTCTCTTCAGAAGTCATGCTGCTTTATCCAACCTGCCACTAAAGACAAAAACAGCAAAAGACACCACGTTTGTATGAAGGTAGGGGAAAGAAAGGAAAAAAACTCCAACCAAACAAAAAAAAAATACCCAAACACCACAAGGTTGTCGAAAGACCATAAATTTCCCATTTGAACACCTTTTACATCCAGCAAGTGAGGGACATGCAGCCCACCAGGGGCAGCTTATACCAACTCCTGTCCCCCGAGTCATATACAGAAACGACACTAAGAGATGAAGGGTTATGAAGCCTGTGTTTGTGTTTCAATGACCACATGCATCTATTGCCTTGAGCAGATTCTAATTAATTAAATCTCTGCCTGGCATTCTGAGACCAAGTTTACATTAGAAAAGTAGTAGCAGTAACGTTCACCAGTATCTGTGCCAACACTGTATGTTTCTTTTGTAAAGAGAGACACGTCAAACCCAAAGCCATTACCCTACTTAGTTCAAATATCTGCTAGAAGCTCCGAGAGGAAAAAGAGATAATCACAACTGGTACTGAAAAGGGACACCGACTACAGGTCAACTCAGTGAGGAGGTCCCCAGTGCTGAGAGTACTGTGAAACTGGTGCACGGTAGGTACAGAAACTGGGGAAAGGCGGGGGGGCAGGGAGCTCTCTGCCATCCTGCTCACTGCAGGGAGGGTTGGACTAGATGACCTTTAAAGGTCCCTTCCAACCCAAAGATTCTATGATTCTAGCTGTCTTTGTGTCCCAGAAATGAAGTCTCATGGAGAACAGTGCATGGTAATGACACATGCTTACATTTCTATCCCATTTCCCTTCCTTTTGGTTCTTCTTCAAGTTATTCAACTTGTAGAAAACAACAGAACAGAATTTTCTCAGTGAGTATAAGGACAGCTACATCATGTTGTTTCTTTTTTAAACTTACTCTCAGTCCTCCTTCTCCTCCAGAACCTGAAGCTGCAATTCGTTTTTCTATTTCTTCCTGTTTCTTTTTCTTTTGCTCTACAGAGTAAGTGTTCTTAATACCTCGAGAGGAAGCCTGGGAGAAAACACATTTGGGTAAGACCAGTCAGCTATTTTTCTGTATAGAAACCAAACTGCAGGTCTTGGTAACGCCATTCATTGACCTCTGGTTTGCGCGGAAAGACTGAAATATTAAGTAATGCTATTACATAAACACAGACCTTGCAGGATACTTCTTCATACTGTGAGCTCTTGGTCCCATAGGGATGTGAGGGTGTTCTCATTTTGTATTGTTATTACATCCAGGTGAACATATTCAATGCAATTACATGTCCCTGCTTTGCCTCCTAGGATGCAGAACCAGAACCTCTCTTCCAAAAAGTCCCATAAAGTTTTAGTCTGTGGCTTTTCCAGTGTCAGGGCCTATTGTTGCTCTCAAACAGAATTAACTGGTAAGAGAAGAGTCAGGCAGATGTAACTTCTAAGAACTATTTCATAATTCATTCTCTTCCTCTACCTCCTTTTATCAAAAGGCTACCTAGAGATAGGATACGGATGATGGAAATCATAATGACAGCTTCTGTTCTAACCTTCAATAAGCAAAGTCACGAGCTCTGTATAGCTACTACAGAAATCAATGGCAGCTTTATGTGCAGGGGAGCAAAAAGGTCCTGTTAGTAGCACTAGCCTAGGCTGTAACAAATCCAACTTCTAAACTGTGATGTGTGAGAACAACCTGTGTGATAGTCTACCCTTCAAACTTCATAGGACGTGTGGATAGCAGTAGTACACAGATGACAAACCTCTTGTCAACTGCCTGCTTCATACCTTCACGGTGATGGTCTAATGAGGACCTGGACTAGATGGTAGGAGTACCAGAACTACAAACAGTTAACATGGTAAATCTAGAAAGAAAATGTTTTAAAAACCGATTCTTAGCTAAGTTTAAGGTTATGATACCACATACTACTACATACATCATACTAGAGTTATGATACTACAGCATAAGCCATGCAAAAGATGTTAAAACCTACCAAGGGAAAACAGCAATGCTCTCGCCTGAAATTCAAGGCCCTGGTGACAAGCACAATGCTCAGGGGGCTACTAAGGCAAATCTTAGCAACAAATACTAACTACTACTTAGACCTCATGGTTTCTAGCTTTTAGGCAACTGACCTTCCAAGTCAGTTAGGTACCCAGACTGTCTCTACAGCACCCCAAAAGGAAGAACACCTCACACAACTTCAGGCTGAATAACGAGCAGTTAAGAAGCAAGTACAGGAAAACACCAAGCAGGGAAGGACATCTGATCTACTCCCTTGTCCCTCATGAGGGGGAAATGGAATTAGGCTACTTGCAATAAATCTCCGTTATCCAACATTCACAGGCTAAAATGCTCTCAAAGATAGTCCTGAAAAATTCTGGCAGATGTTTTATCTCTTTGTCTTTTAAGAAAAGAAAAAGTAATACAGTGATGCTTCCATTTTTCTTCAGCAGCTTAACGGCTACGCAGAACTTCAGAGCCATCCGTAACCCAAGCTGCTTCATTCCTCCTTCTTCCTGGGAAAGCTTTTTAGCAATTTGAGCTTGACAGGGACTTTCCCCTTCCACACACTTCTTGAAAGTGTATTTCCTATAGTTGTGCTTAAAAAACCCATTATGATTTAATATTACATGTGGACTGCTTTAAGTATGTAGTCTGACACAACATCAAGAGGTTTTTAAAGGAGGACTCTGAACCATCACTCAGCTGTTGCTCCCATTATTCACCACACTCCCTTAAAACCAGTTCGACATGGTCCTCATCAATAATGGTCATACAAACAACACAGTCCTCTCTCTCCATAGTTCTGCCTTGGTCTCTAAGATACACTTTCTACTTGTAGATTTTGCATGGTGTATGTTACAAGCTTTTTTGAGAAGTATAGAAAAAACATAGACTGGCTAGTTCTACATTCTGCCAGAACATCTGCATCCTACCTCTTCTAACTTTAAGGATATTTAAGGAGTTAAAGCTTAGAAAACTTAAAAAAAAAGAGTAGTATGTTAATACTACTACTTTGCTGGAATTTGAGCTGAGAAACATGCCTAATTGTTGCCAGCTTGATAAAGTGAACTTGCAAGTGCCCATAACCTGCATTTGTAAGAGAAGGACAAGTGCAGTACCACTGGAAATTGCCACCACAACAATTGTTTGACAAATATGGTTCAAAACATTTCTCAATCTTTTGTTTTCAAGTCTTCTAAGGCGGAAAGAAATACTGTTGAACTTGCTGTTCAATTCTTAGGTTGTTTTCCAACTCCTGCAGAACTTCTTCTCTTCCAACAAGCTCAGTTATCTTGCAATGGTCTTTGAGCACCGACCTAGCTGTGAAACTCTACAGTAAATATATAGAAAAAATGGTATAAAGGTAAAACACTAATAATGCTATGAATATATTTAATGACAATTCCCACAATCCAGGCATGATAGCCAGTGTTCCCACAGAAGCCCTAGCTATTTTCCCCATAAACCAGTTACCAAAATATATTTTGAATAAATGGCATTTTATCAGACATTACCTCCATCTGCCTCTTTTCAGCAGCTTCTGCTAGCTGTCTTCTTTTTATTTCCTAAATAAAATGTGAAAGACAGTGAAATTCTATTCCAACACAGTCTGTACATTCTTTTGAAAAGTCTTAATTTTCAAATATGATGCAAATCTGCAATGCAAACTGCCACAAAATGCCAACCTTAACTCAATTAGCATCATCTGTGATCGTCCCTTCCATTGCCAGTCTGCAGGAACAAAGTGGTTTTAGTAACCGAAGTGCTAGAAGAGCAGCTGCTGACAAATCCACAGTCAAGCCCCCACCGGGACTCTGTATTCAGCTGTCTGCATTACACCTCCACTCCAAAAAATTCAGAACTGAGAAGGCACGCAGTGCCTGAAGTGTCCTTTTGGAGGCTGAAAAGGGGAAAGCT